TAGCCAAGCAAATAGATTGCCATAGAGGTTAACATCAGACATGGAACAATTATTAATTTTTGTTATTGTGTTTTGTGGAACATGAATATTTTAGCTTCCCTTCCTTGCTGAAAATGATATGATTAGCAAAACAAGGTGGTTTTATCTCACTATTTTCTAATATATCCTCCTTTGACTTGCAATTCTTTCCTTTTTTTTCCAACTTTCCCAAAGAATCATAAATATGGAACCCTTTTTTTTTACAAAAAACAAGGAACCACACATCATGTGATCACCTTATTATTTCTGTTTTGTACTATTTGCTTTAACTTGTCAGTCATATTCGTTTGATTTTCTCTGCATGCAGGAAACCAGCTAAATAAATACGTTCGAGCAACAGAGGCATAAGACGCCGACGCCCTCAGACCAAATATCCAAATTATTTGTGTTTGGTTGGAAATATACCATTGGATATGATTATGCATAACATATACAGTTATATTTAACAAAGGCATAGGTCACTAATCCATGTTGATATGGGCGGCATGTGCGCTATTTGATTTATTCATAAACTCCAGAGCATAAGGTATAAAGTAATATATCTAAAAATACCCCGTAGCATTGACCATCCGCAACATGACAAAACAGCAGAGGCCAAGGACATCCATAAAAAAGAAAGGGCTCCCCTATTTTGTTTGAGCACCACTGACAGCATACATAAAAAAGAAGGCTGATATTGCAATGTTTTAGCATAATATATAATCATTTCAAGGTCCTTTTCTCAAACTGAAACCAGTTGGGTTTCTAGCTCAAAATTTGTTTGTGTTGTTGACCAGAATTTGAATCAGAGAAACTAATTGGCTTTCCCCATGTGCATCTATGTGCTTCTTTTGGTTCTTTTCCTCTTTGATGTCGGCCTATTCATAACCATGGACTATATTTGTGTTGCAGATGAATTGATCAGCCTATTCAGAGAAATCAAGCAGATAACAACACTTTCCGGAGGTATGTCATGTGCTGATAACAGAAAGAACTTATATTGCAAGTAATTTTTCACTATAAATACTCTAACTGTACCAATTGTTTGACCTGGGCTAGCTAACAACTAAAAAGTACAGGCACGCATATCTTTCATGCAGCAACTTCATACAATCCTATTGGATCAATAGCTTTGATTTGTTTTAACTTTCCATAGAACAATGTCTGAAATTAGCTTTAGATCCCGTGCAGTCTCAACAAGTACCAAGTATTTTCTCATTTCCTAGACTAAGTTTATATTGATAGGTTGGCAAGTTTACAATCTTGCTGAATACAGGGTGCAAGAAACACCAGGGGCTGAGAGATCAGAAACACAAAGGACCAGTACGAGAAGATTATTTAGCGGTTTGGTGAGCTGCCACACTGACTTCTTGGTTTACATGAACTAAATCAAAAGAAGAAAACACCCTAGTAAGCTCCTGAATGTGCATAAGAACAAGTAAGATTGGAGCTCTGCTCGAAATACTAGCCTTCCATTGGTTGACCAGCTAAAGAAATTAGTTTCAATCATGAGCTTCTCAGCATGAATCTCCGGAAAGAGTTGAACATCGTCCCAGTAGGCAAACGCCTCAGTATTAAGTCAAATTACCTATCTTATTAACACAGAAAGTTGCATTGGACTGGAGTGTATGTGCACCATTATAGGCAAGACTAAAATGGGAAGTGCTCGGCATTGCTCATTTTAATCTCTTTAAACCTACCTATGTCTATGTGAACAAAACCCACAAATAAATAGGATAACTTCCTAGTCTTCGGAAGCAATTTTGTGTCAAAAGCTGTCTAACAGCAGGATGAACATTATAACATTTCCTATCAACAGCATCATTGTGGCTGTGATTTTCTGCTAATAACATAACCTATTTAAAACACAGGACAAGAAAAATAGCACCAAAAGAAGTGACAATGTAATCATTCAAAGTGTATCACCATCTCCCATTGTCTAGAACCATTGGTATACAGAGACAAAACAAGTACACGCAAGAGAAGCTAAATTGAAACTTTGAATAACTAGTCCGAGAGAAATGAGCCGCAGTGCCCTCAGAATGAACCACCATTGCACCAAACTTAAAAGCATGCATACATAAGAGAAAGGAGGACATAACTCAAGCAGACATACCATGCCCGCTGCTCCATAGCACGAATAAGACGTCACTTGTGCAACGATTGTAACTCTTCATATAGTGGCACATATGGAAAATATGGTGGCTTGCTCTCTTCAAGATTGCAGATCACTTTAACTTGTCCATGATCCATATCATAGCACATGAATGTGATATCCTCCCAGGCCAGAGTGAAGAAGATCAAGTTACATTCTGGATGAATTGCAATCCAATCAAAGTCCTCATAAAGGCTGACTGCGTGTCGCCCTCCAAACACATGTGAAGTTTCGACGCTATGCTTCAGTATCCATTCTTTGCTGTCATAGTCTTTAAGAACATAAACTAGCAGTTGATCAACATCATCATCATTGTCACCTCTGTCAAAACCAGCATAATGCAGGCAGCCCTGTGACTGCTGAATAAAACAAACATCCAGATCATCAGGAACACGAAAGTCAGTCCTTGCTGCCCCCTCCTTGTCCACTGCAGCTAGTCGGCGGGCAGAACCATCAACAATGGCGCAAAAATGCAGATAACCATTGAGATAGACAATTGATGGATCATTAGCGACATCAATATTGCCGCTCCATCTCTTCTCGTTATGAACCCAACTCCCGGTTTCAGATGAATAGACATGCACTCCGGTAATACAGAAGCCATGTTGGTCCTCCACCTCCACGACCGGCAAACAAAACACATAGAAATGGGGGGACACGGCTGGATCAAAACACAAGTTTATACTAGACGCATCACCGGAATAGCCGGAATCCGGCAACTCAGCCCATTCCTCTGTGGCGGGATTGCACACAACGTACCGTATCTCGTCGCCATGGTCGCCAGCAACGTATGAGGAGAAGAGAAGGAGGCCGTGGCAGGAGTCCAAGAGAAAGACCAGCCGACGGCCGGGCAGGAAGGCGGGATATGTGAGATGGCGGCTTCCCAAGATATTGGTGAAAGGAACACCTGAATCTAGCAATTGACCCGCGTCGTAGAAGCCGGCCAGGGTCTGGGGCAGCTTCCGGCGGTAGCTGCGGTCGTTGATGAGGCCGAGCCAGTGCTTGGAGACGCACTGGAAGCGGCAGAGCGACCTGGCGGGCACGCGCGAGAGGATCTCGATAAGGAGGTCGTCGGTGAGTCTCTCGGCCGCCGTCTCGCTGCCGCTGGGAGGTGAAGAGGACGACCTGCAGACAGAGATGGAGAAGAGGTCTCAGGGGATCGGGTGAAGAAGGGAGAGGAAGGTCGCGACGATTCATGGCGATGCCTGCTCTGCGTACCTGATCCGGGCTGATACGCGTCCGTTCTCCATCAGCTTGGGTGAGATCGATCAGCTTGGGTGGGTGGGCATGGCGCGGCGGCGGAAGAAAGCTCCGGCGGCGCAGTCGAGTGCGGGGAGGGGAAATGGGGGGAGTGATAAACCTACGGGGAGGGGAAGTGGGGATTGAAACTGACGCGACTGGAAATGGGCCAGCAATACGTTCGTGGGCTATAAACCGTTCCGTGTCACAACTCCACGAATGTGCCACTCCTAAAATTCTCCTAGTCAATAAAATAAAATAAAAGTGATCTCAAAAAATAAAAATAAAATAATACTACCCCTCAAAATCTCCTTCAAAAATAATAACACTAAAACGGCTTGGATTTTATGCTCACGTATACTATTCGGCATGAAATTTTATTTTGAAGTTGGTACTGCTATCCGCAAGAAGAATGTGGTTAGCAGGGAGGATGATTTTCATGTGACAAGAGCGTATGGGATAGAAAAGCCAAAAGCCTTAACCAATCTTAATGTTGATGTTTGCATGGTTAGCTCCAGTACCAACTTGAACGAGTCCATCTCAAGCTCATATTGGACGGAGCTATCTATTTAAAGAGGTTTGTGTTATCGAAGAAGATGATGGTACAGTGCAATGCCCCTTGCACGCTCCAATAATTCTATCGAAAGAGGTTTGATGAGGGTGCCTTGCACGTGCCCTCTATTAAAACTAGATGATACCCTGCGCATTGCTACAGGAACTCTTGGTCCTATGCGCATAAGAATATATAAGTTGACTAAATTTGTTCGCATCGTAGGTCTCTTATATATATAGGAGAAAAAACTGCAATGTACATAGTACTTGGAGTATAGTTGTAAAGATAGCAAAGTGTATCATTTGTTTACTAAATACAGTGATATGACAAAGTGATCTCATAGGAATAAATAAGTTTAATGTATATAAGCAAATTAAGAAAAGATATGGAATGGGGACGCCAGGAAAGGTTATGTATATATTGCCATTTTGAGATACTTCTTGTGAATTATGTTAGACTCTTGTTGTAAATCAATCTTATGCATGTCAGTGCATAAGTTCTGCAAAGTATAGCCAAGTAGTTCATATCAGCAATTGTAAAAATAGGTGTTACATTAAATAGTTGTATCTTCTCATAACCATAATATGAGATAACAAACAATTGGAAACAATGCTCTGGAAACATCACAGGTAGTAGGGCCTCGTCTTTGTTAATCAAACAAAATCTACAGTAGCAAAATAAAATAAAATAAGGTGCTTGGAAGAAGCAATGATGAAGATGATTGCAACATCTGAGTCACCTGGTACTTGAGTAGGAAAAGGACTATACCTATGTATAGCTCAAGGTTTGTTAAAAAAATGTATAGCTGAAGGTAAAAAGCTGAGGGAAGTGTCTGCATTTCATGCGTATTTTTATATTCTGTATGAAGCATTAAGACAATTAGCAAGGGCACCACCCAAAAATAAAAACGGCACTGGAAATAGCACCTTTACCTGTCAAATACTCCCAATACAAAAATAAATAAATTTGCAAGTGGTTTGGATCCACGCCCACCACCTCAAAGCTTGTTTTGACCTTGGAGCCATTCAGTGAGCCAGGTCGGTACTAAAGGAGTAGAGATGCCAAGTTAGTTGAAAAAGCAAGTTCCTGCTGTAGAAACAATGACACAAAATTTTACCTGTTGAAGAAAAATTATCTCTAGAAACTATAAATTTCCATGGAAATGAAATAGCAATATTTCCTGGCATGGAAGCATGGAAGATAGAACAACAAATGTGCAAACTTAAGCAAAATCAGTCGAGTATGTAAGAATAAAATAAAGAAACAGAAAGTTAATCTTGGTAAGGTGAGGTGATTCATTCACTACTAGGAAAATGCTTATAGATAGAAAACACGCTACTACTATTAAATAACAACAGCGTTTGTTAGCTTGGGCTGCGCTGCTGTTACATGGGCCGTAGGGCAAAAACGGTAGCCACTTACCTGTAGCGTTTGTTTCGAACGGGCGCTACAGCTGGTGGGCTTAGCAGTAGCGCCGGCCTCTACCCAATGCTACTACTAGCGGAAAAGAAAACCTGCCCGAGCGCCCCCCGCACCCCCTCACTCTCACAATTGATCCCCTTCGACGCCGCCGCCGCGGTTAGGGTTCCTCCCCGGCCGCCTCACCCCCGTCGACGGCGTCGTGCGCCGCCACCACGCGCGGTCGCCTTTCGCCTCCTCCGACGCTCCAGCCCCGTAAGTCCCCCTCGATCTCCTCCTCCCTGTGCGCGCCACAACTAGCTAGGCTCCAATCAATTCGCCGCGGCGTCTCGCCATGTTTTGGGATTTTGCGTGGGGGAAAGGGATTTAGGGATTGCACGGGTGACTCCGCGCTTCGATGGGACGTGTTCCAGGCTTGTTTCCTCGCGTGATTGGGGAGAGAGTAGATAGAGGGGTTAGGTGAGACAAGTAGAGGCTTTTTGTTGCTCACCGAAACTTGGGTTTCAATTCTTGATTAGCAGTTTAGCAAATATAATTGAAACTTGGGTTTCAATTCTTGGCGGTTGTCCCTGGAGCAGTGGCGGCGGCGGCGGTGCCTAGTGTTCTAGGGTTTAGAGAGGGGTTCTTTCCTAACACTAGGGTTATGTCGTGAATGCTCCTCCTTTCATCTGAATGATGTTGATTGTGCCAGTTCTTAAAGGTCTAAATGTTTGTATCCTCGTGATGAGCTACCCTATGTGTGAATTTGATCCACTAGCTTCTTTGTTGATGCATATAAAGATATGACCAAGAAGCCCTCGCTGTTATGTGGTTTCATGGAAAAATCAATGCTTGATTCGATACTCTTTCAGGTTGAAGAGAGTGTCTGTATGTGGTGATTGATACGTCTCCGTCGTATCTACTTTTCCAAACACTTTCGCCCTTGTTTTGGACTCTAACTTGTATGATTTGAATGGAACTAACCTGGGCTGACACTGTTTTTAGCAGAATTGCCATGATGTTGTTTTATGTGCATAAAACAAATATTCTCGGAATGACCTGAAACTCCACGGAACATCTTAGAAAAAATAATAAAAAATCCTCGCCAAAGATGAAGACCAGGGGGCCCACACCATGTCCACGAGGGTGGGGGCGCCCCCCCCCCCTCTAGGATGCGCCCCCTACCTCATGGCCCCCCTGGATGCCCTCCGACGCCAACTCCAACTCTATATATTTGCTTTCGGAGAGAAAAAAATAAGGGAGAAGAAATCATCGCGTTTTACGATACGGAGCCGCCGCCAAGCCCTAAAACCTCTCGGGAGGGCTGATCTGGAGTCCGTTCGGGGCTCCGGAGAGGGGGATTCGTTGACGTCGTCATCATCAACCATCCTCCATCACCAATTTCTTGATACTCACCGCCGTGCGTGAATAATTCCATCATAGGCTTGCTGGACGGTGATGGATTGGATGAGATTTATCATGTAATCGAGTTAGTTTTGTTAGGGTTTGATCCCTAGTATCAACTATGTTCTGAGATTGATGTTGCTATGACTTTGCTATGCTTAATGCTTGTCACTAGTGCCCGAGTGCCATGATTTCAGATCTGAACCTATTATGTTTTCATGAATATATGTGAGTTCTTGATCCTATCTTGCAAGTCTATAGTCACCTACTATGTGTTATGATCCGGCAACCCCGAAGTGACAATAATCGGGACCACTCCCGGTGATGACCATAGTTTGAGGAGTTCATGTATTTACTATGTGCTAATGCTTTGTTCCGGTTCTCTATTAAAAGGAGGCCTTAATATCCCTTAGTTTCCGATAGGACCCCGCTGCCACGGGAGGGTAGGACAAAAGATGTCATGCAAGTTCTTTTCCATAAGCATGTATGACTATATACGGAATACATGCCTACATTACATTGATGAATTGGAGCTAGTTCTGTGTCACCCTATGTTATGACTCTTACATGATGAACCGCATCCGGCATAATTATCCATCACTGATCTGGTGCCTACGAGTTTTCCATATATTGGTTTACGCTTATTTACTTTTCCGCTGCTACTGTTACAATCACTACAAAATACCAAAAATATTTACTTTTGCTTGCACTACTCTTTTGTTACCGTTACCACCACTATCATATTACTATGCTACTAAACACTTTGCTGCAGATACTAAGTTTCCAAGTGTGGTTGAATTGACAACTCAGCTGCTAATACTTGAGAATATTCTTTGGCTCCCCTTGTGTCGAATCAATAAATTTGGGTTGAATACTCTACCCTCGAAAGCTGTTGCGAGCCCCTATACGTGTGGGTTATCAAGACTAGTTTCTGGCGCCGTCGACGGGGAGCATAGCTCTATTCTTTGAGTCACTTGGGATATATATCTGCTTATCATTATGAAGAACTTGAGAGATCCAAAAACCAAGATCTATCCCTCAACTACTAGGGGAGGTAAGGAACTTCCATCTAGCTCTGCACTTGATTCACCTTCTGTTATGAGTAAGTTTGTGACACCTACATCTGCTTCTGCTATTCGTTCTGATATGTCGCATGTTATTGATGATGCCACTTCTGCTATGCATGATACTTATGATGAAACTGCTTCTATGCCTGATACTACTGTGCCCCTTGGTGAATTTCTTGATGAACAAATTGCTAGGGCTAGAGAAAAAGAAATTATTGAATCTGAATACGATGATGAAAGTGATGATGAAAATATGCCTGTTATTCCTGAGGGCTATTTTTTGATATGGAATCTTCTGCCGCTATTTTAGCTTGCAAAGATAGATATGAGCTCAAGAAGTTATTAGTTAAATGGAACAAAGAATCACTTAGAGATAAAATGAAACCCGACCCTGCTTTTGCTACTTCACCTATTTGTGTTCCTGATAAGGATTATGAATTCTTTGTTGATCCTGATATAATTACTTTGGTTGAATCTGATCCGTTTTATGGCTACGAACCTGAAACTGTTGTGGCACATCTTACTAAGTTAAATGATATAGCCACCCTGTTTACTAATGATGAGAGATCGCGTTACTTTTATATACTCA